TCTCTTCCAGAACGACTTATCCATCAGTTTCCACCTCAGGAAGATGCACAGCGGCCCTCGGTTGATGATAGATAGATGATTGCTTAATCAATACATTTTTTTTGAGCAAAGATCTTAATCTTAAAGGTCCAGCGTGTAACATTTAGGAGGATCTATCGGCAGAAATGCAATATAATATTTATATTAATTGGCTTGGGGGCACTGCTGGTATTGTCATCTCATAAGAGGGCCACTTCAACATTCAAGTATTGAAAGAAAGTACAATATTCTGAAAATAATTAATTACTAACAAACAAAAAAGTACATTTTAATATCATGATTTTATATCACCTTTGTTCTCAACCATTTGCATGTATATGGGAGCACCTTTACCTTTTATTTTACACTAAACAGAATAAATTTTTTAAATGGAATTGTCTTTTTTATTTAACTTTGTACATGAAGGGTTACTTTAAATTGATATGAAACAACTAGAATACAAAATAAAAAGTAATAATAATCTTGCCGGCAGAAAATTGTAATTTTACTGTATTTCACAGTTAAAGGGTAAATTCTGAAGCCCCTTATGTTTGTTTTTGGCCGTCAGGAGCACTCTAATGAAGGTAGTCCTAAGTGAACACAACCTGGAGAAAGACGAAGGCTTTGAACAGGTCTTTAATGTCTCAAAGATACATGTCCACAACTACAACTACAGGAATTTCAACAACGACATCATGCTAATCAAGGTAGGCAGAAGAGTAGTGGCCTGAAATAGAAGATATGGAGTTCTTTATACATACACTCCCCATTCTTGTTCATGGATGTACAATGTGGATTTCTTGGTCAACATGTTTAAGCTATGGAGCTGTAACTTCTGTTACAGCTGAGTGAGCCAGCACAGATGAATGCCTATGTCCAGCCGGTTGCTCTGCCTGATGATAACACTCCTCAACTTTATACTGATGACTGCACAGTGAGTGGCTGGGGTGTGACACAGGTTTACAGTAACTACCTCTCCCCTGTGCTACGTGCCGTAGATGTAAAAATTATGCCTTACTGCACTTATTACTACTGGGGGAGGATCACCTCAAACATGCTGTGTGCTGGATCTCAGATGGGTGGCAAAGACTCCTGCCAGGTACAGATTTTCTTCTTTTGTTGTCTATTGTGTTGCATGCTTTGTGTGTTGAATGGTTGTGTTGACTACTTCAATCAGTACCTAATAATGTTGTCTCGTATGTTACATATTATTTCATTCTAATTGATATTTCACTTTGTATTGCTCTGCATGCTGTGTATTGTATAAATGAAATTTAATGACAAATCTGTTGAGATATTTCAAACTGGACTTTTAACTAACTCTGGTACATTTATAGCAATGTGTATACCATTTCAAAAGTGGAACTGAAAAGATCTTATACCAAAATATGTGTGTTGGTGATCCACAGGGTGACTCTGGTGGTCCCCTTGTCTGTAATGGCAACTTTGAGGGTATTGTCTCCTGGGGTATCAGCTGCGCAAACGCATACTACCCTGGAGTCTACACCAAAGTGCGGAACTACGTCCAGTGGATCAACTGGGTTATCGACAATGACACACCATGAACAGTCACCACAATCCTCGATGAGCAGCCCATTCACAACATTATTTTAAATTGCCTTTTTTTTATTACTAATAACTTTACTTTGTTATTACTTTGTAAACTTTACACACTAAGTTTGATTGCAATTTCTAATGTTGGGGTATGCTATATAGAGCCAGGGTTATCAGTCATTTCTAGAAATAATGCTTCTTGGAAATATGTTAACACGCTAATTATTAATTGGTTTTCATTCATTGATTGCTCTGAAATGAGATACAGAAATAAACCCATTATTATTATCATTAATATCATTAGTATTAGTAGTAATGGGAATAGTAGTGGTAGTAGCAGTAGTTGTAGCAACGATGTTAACGCTGCATTAATCAGTAGACCTGGGTAATATGGTTAAAATCAGTAATAATATTAAAGTATTACCAGGCCATTTTCAGCAATTTTTTTTTTTTTAATTTTACATTGAATTAAATGACATATTTATCTCAAAGTGACAAATCTGACAATCCCACAAAGAAATATTACCAGACTCTACAGTTCATGTCAGCTCTACAGACAGCAACACATTTCACATTACATCTCACATTACATCTCATTCACATTTACTCCAATGCAAATATAATATAATATAGTATTGATTGGTATAGCTTTAAGGACATCATACCAAAGTACTGGGTCAATAAGCTGACTAATTGTACCTTTATTCTGGTGCAACATTAGGAAAGTATCCCCAGTCAGTGAAATATTTATGCAGTTCGGTTGGGATAAGCTTTTCATTGTTACATATTTTAAGAGGAATTTTGATATAATTTACATGACTGTTTTTTAAGGTATAATGTCATAATCTGACCTACTAACCATCAGGATCAGCAGGAGTGCTTGTAAAGGTGTTTGATTATAGTATGAGTACACTAAACTCTCCTGTCCGCATACTTTGTGTACCCATCATTTTGGATTTACATGTTCAACTATCAAAAATGAGTTTGAAATGTAGGTGTCCACTCTGACCCATGCAGTCTATGTTGAGTTTCAGTCTAGTAAAAAAAAATGTTTTTATTGTGGATTTAAAGTGATAAAACTGAGTAATTATCCATTACAGATTGTTTAAGTTGCTTGGTATATGATGGTTGTTGAGATAATTGATAAAGTTAAATATTAATGTAACTCATAACATTGCAAATTGACAATTGACGTCATACACACCAGCACTAAACAAGTTAGTTGGTAATACAAACCTCCTATCTGTTCATCAGCTGTCATCAGATTTTTAGATGTCTCTCAAAATAAAGTACATTTTATTGTTAAAAATGAAGATTATAAATGAACCAGAGATGATCAGAAAGGCAGAAGAAAATCCCCTGGCTTCAGGTGTTGTTAGTAACTTATTTAAATAAAGCTTGTAATAAAAAAAATGGGGGAAAAATGTCGGACGTTTTTAAAACCCTCATAAATAAATAAATCTACCACTTCCGGCTATTGATATTGTGACTCCCTGCATATGGATGATCATGTTGATTGACATCTGCCATCTTGTCTGCAGTCTGCAGTTGTGTTTCTCATTCTTTAGACTATTATTATATGTTTTATACACACCGGCCCACATTATCTGACAGCTCAGAGAATACTTTATGACCTACTTGTTAACTGGGTCCTTGTGAGTCTCAAAGACAATTGAAATTATTTATTGATTTATTTATTGATACTGACTGTTGACTGTAGCCTATTGAATTTGTTTGGAGTCTTTCTGTCCCTACAGTGGTCCAAAACCACTGAAGCTTTGTATCACTAGTTTTAAAACGTCCATTATGAGCTGCTTATGCCAGGAAAAGTCTATTTTCAAAATCGCTTACTTCCTGTTGCCAATAGGTGGCGCTATCACTATATCTAAATATTGTCATGTAGACGTGTTCAGGGCGGGAACTTATCAAACGTGAAGTTTCGTTGATATCGGATCATGTAACACTAAAGTTATGACAACTTCCTTTTTCATGGCGAATTGTCAAAATTGGACACCACGTCACAGGCACAACTTTATATCATGAATGTCTTTTAGATTGCGGTCATTAACAAAATGGAGAACATGTTCTTTTTATTAAATGGTAAAAACACAGTGCAAACTTAAAATGTGCAGCTACATTTGAAAGGAAATAAAGTCTGTATAAAACA